ACCCTTAGCACCCGAACCCCACCCCCCGGCTGGCTGCAGCTGGAGCAAGCTCACCCTGGGTCTTCCGTTTCTTGCAGGGCTTGCTTTCAGAAATCCTCCGGAAAGAAGAAGACCCCAAGACTGCTTCCCAGTCCCTGCTGGTAAACCTTCGGGCCATGCAGAATTTCCTGCAGTTACCAGAAGCAGAAAGGGACCGGATATACCAGGACGAGAGGGAGCGGAGCTTGAACGCAGCGCAGCTGGAGCAAGCTCACCCTGGGTCTTCCGTTTCTTGCAGGGCTTGCTTTCAGAAATCCTCCGGAAAGAAGAAGACCCCAAGACTGCTTCCCAGTCCCTGCTGGTAAACCTTCGGGCCATGCAGAATTTCCTGCAGTTACCAGAAGCAGAAAGGGACCGGATATACCAGGACGAGAGGGAGCGGAGCTTGAACGCAGCCTCGGCCATGGGCCCTGCCCCGCTGCTGAGCACCCCGCCCAGCCGCCCCCCCCAGGTGCAGACGTCTCTTCCTCGCACTCTTTCCCATCTTAAAAAATGTTTAAAGATGAATCTCAGCAAGAAATCAGATAAATAGACAGAGATTGTTTTCTCAGTTCCGTAGAGATGGTTGAGAATTTCATCCCAAATCACTATTCTCACAGAAAAACAAAATGTTAATTAAATAGAGAAAAGAAAATTATCTTGTGTTGGTCCAGTCTTTGGCTTCTTTGAGGGGCAAAGAAGTCTTTGGGTAAAGTTTTTTGCCTCCACTACTGTTATTAAAGAGGTGTTTTAAACCCCTCAGAACAAAAAAGAATCAGGTCAGTTTTATGCCTACCAGTTTTAGAATAGTCACTTGAATAGTAAATAAATAAAAATAAATAATTCTATTTGTATTTATGCTTTCCAATGCGAACTGCAGCTGGTACCAATTACCATCTCATTTCTAATCTTTCATAATTAAGTTTAATACAATCCTTGACGGCAGCTTTAAATGGGACCGATAAAGGATTCTATTCATATTCCCAGAAATGGGCACATTTTCTATTTCTCCAAATTCTTCCACCTTTCAGGTAGAAAAAAAACACCACCTAGATAACTTGTTAGGTGTATTTATATTATTATTTTTAATCAAGTTTACAAGTATTTTCATAACTCATGAGAATTCAAGAAATAACACCATTAGATGGAAATTTGCTAGATTAGACTTAAAATCCACAAGCAAATGTATTTTATTATGTTTAATTTGTGACAGGTACAACCTTAAAAATAAGATCAATTTGCCAGGTGTGATGGTGCACACCTTTAATCCCAATACTCAGGAGGCAGCGGCAGGTGGATCTCTGTGAGATCGAAGCCAGCATGGTCTACGTAGCAAGCTCCAGGCCAGTTGGGGCTACAGGGAGACCTTGTCTCGAAAAAAAAAAAATCCACTTAATGTAAAAAGTTGAATATAGAACACAAAGTACTTAAGTGACATAATGTCATAATAAAATTATGTGTTAATACTGTTTTCATCTTTAATGGCTTTTTTAAAAAAATCCAATTATTTCCAAATATAGAAATATAGCAAAAGCCTATCCAATGTTAAGGAATGAACCTGCTGCAGGTACTCATAGATGAGGAATGAGCATAATCTGTCAAGGGTCTTAAACTGTTAACGAAATGTTCTGATTACTTTTTAAAGCAATGTCATGAAAGTCCATCTTTAATGAAAAATCAACCTGTTTTGATGTTATCAGAGCAGCTGTGAGGACTTATTTTAACTGTACATAATTGTACATAAGAAAATCATGTATCTGTATAGCGAGGAATGGCCACGGTGTTCATACACACATAACCTGCCTGCTTACACACAGTAAGTCTGACTGGCATCCTTGTCTAGAAAATACTTCCTAAGTTAAAGAATTAGGAACACTGTGTGTATACATATGATTTCTGTACGTGGTTATATAAAAGCACCATACCTTGGACTTGTTTTACCATTTTTGTGTCAGTGTTTACCATTCATACCACCATGGGTTAACCTTGTTGCTGTAATCAGACCCATGGACGTCTGGGCAAACTCATTCAACTCATCACTTGATCTGAAATGCTAATGTAATAAAAGAATTCCTCATTTAAGACCAATATGAATTTTAGGACCGAACACCTTTATTTTTAACCTGCCCAATTATTTAATTTAGTGATTCCTTCATACAGCTTTTGTTTTCTAGTTTTCAAGGATTTTGAGAATCCTTATTCATCAAGGTTTTTTTTGTTTTTTTTTTTTAGCCAAAGTTGCACAAATTTTTAAGTGCTATTTCTTTTCATGTACTCTCAGGATACTATTCGGCAGCTTACCCGTGTGTGTTTATTAAGGCAATGTCTGTCGTGCTATGTGGGTGTAATTTGTTTTTAGCATCAGTTTCTTTGTTTCCTGGTTGAGAAACTCTTAGCTGTATTTGCTTGTCCTCAGTAGGGATTAAGAACAACCAAACCCTTAGAGTTGGAGCATTTGGTTGAAGGTTAACATAGAAAGTAGGTAGATTCTCCAGCTTCTTTGTGAAGTTATTAATGATTTCTCTTAGTGCGATGTGATTGGCCATCTAACCGAGTTTGGAAATGATGGTCTGATACATGTAGAGGTGTGCGTGCGTGCGTGTGTGTCTGTTATTTGCCCCATGGAGAATCCCTTTACATTGCTGAGTATTGTTTTAGCCGCACTCACTGCCTGTTTATGTACAGTTTGCCTTTAAATGACCCAGCACATTGCAATTTAAGAAATTCTTTGTTTGTTCATCCTGCTGTAAAGTGGGTAGACTTGGGGAAAACAAGCCCTAGAGCTTGTGAATTAACTGTTTCTTGGTGGTTGAGATTAAACTGGAGACAGTATACCCTACGAGAGACATTAGCACACTGACTACACGCTACTAGAATGGAAGGAAAGGTGGAAGAAACCAGGTACAGAAAGACTTCAGAACTGTCTTCAGTTTTAAGCTTTACCAGAGAAAATGCGATATAAAATCACTGCATTTCATTTCCTGTAAAATAAAAGAGATTTGAAACCTATTTTGAGATAACTCTCGGGTTCAGACTTGAACTCCGATTCTCTGTAAAGAAAGGCAGAGGGGAAAAGCAGAGGCCATAAGTCACGTACAGAAGACCTGGGACACAGGCCTGGGAGACCAGCTTCTCTTTTGCTCCGTAGTGTGTAGGTCACGTATAAGAAGGTTTAATAGCGCACCCACGGCATACCAGACTAAGCAGCTAAGACTTCTGAGGCATTTAGATTCTAAGTCATCTTTAAGATGGGACTCCTTGGATAAGGTTCCAGAAAGAGTTCCCCAGCCCCAGGAAACAATAAAGCTCAAGGCAGGTCCGGCCCAGGTCCCAGGCCTCCTCCTGCGGACCTGTCTCTAGTAGAGACAACCATCAGTGGTCATTGTTCTCTTCCTGGGGCAGGAAACTTTGGTCCAGACCTGATTGTCAAAAGCATATTTTCACTACTCACATGCTGTAATTCAAGAAATAAAAATACCTTGTAGTTGGTAATGGTTCACAGTTTTCTAAGCACCTTCTCATGTATTAATTCGTTGAATCCTAATACCAACCTTTTGCTAAGAGAAAAAAATGAGAAACCCAAGTGAAAGGTTTTAATTAAAGTTTTCAAATCCTCATTAAGTCAGTTCTTGCATTTAACCTCAAGCCATCTCCTCAAAATATAAAGTTGTCTTAGGAGAAGACATAGAGGATGAAGTCTTGCTAGATTAGAACACAGTATTGAGTTTGATAAATGATCCATTTAGAAGGACTCGAGCAGTGATATTTCTAATAATAGTATGGAAAAGGTTCTTCCAAACTTTGACCCTAAGAAAGTATCTGAGAAAACCCAGTTCCCCCGAAGCTCCTTTCTCCTTTAGAGTCCTTTTTTGACTCTGTTATGCAAAGTTTCCTAGTGAGCCTATTAAATGGAGTTTTATCAATAATGATTGGTGGTTATTTTCTGAGAATGATTTGTCTTTAGTGAAAGATTAGCTTAAGTTGATGACTTCTACCTTAGGTGTATTTTATTTGAATATTCTTATACGTGTTGACTTTCAGAATTAATTTTCCAAGTTCAGTTTCTATAAGGACTCTTTGTCAGTGTATAATTACCAAGTTGTAATTTTTAAATGAATTATATGCTTATTTATATATTTTTCACCTCCTCCTGTGATTCTTTGGTTTCTAGCTAAAGTAAGGTGTTACATTTCATAACAATGTATTAGAAAATAAATGTCCAAAGCCCATATAAGGAATATATAATTAATCTGGTAGCTGTATTCTTTTATCTCTTTACAACAAATGCCTCTTTAATATAATGAAGCATAGGTCACCTTGATTTCAGGTGCAGTTACAGACAATTTGTTGTGGATTCTTTGGAACACATTAAGTTTTTCCATAAGCGCATGTACAGTACTTCCTATTAGTAGGCTGTGACCTTTAAAGTCTAGATTTGGAAGATAATATTGTTCCCAAAGAGAGAAGACGGGCCTGAAAAAAGTCAAACCATGATTCTAAAGAGAGTGTTATCTAGGACTGTTTCTCAGTGCCTTTTACGTTAAGTATGTCCACAGAATTACCAAGAAAATATTTATAACTGGCACACCTTGGAAAATAAATTCAGATTGGATTTTTTAATGTTAATTATAAAACCATTAGCTACTAAAATTCAGACCTTAATGAGCTAGATCTAGAAAAGGGCCCCTGGAAAGCAGGCCCAGTGTGTCTTGATCACTAAGAATTTTTGTAAGTAACAAAGACACACAGAGGAACACAGACTCAGTGACTCCCTGACCTTTTAGACAGGCATCAGACAAACTGAAGTTCACATCACATCCTTGAGCAGTAGGCACATGACTTCTTTGTTATAAGAAAACTTTTTCAGTTTTCAAATGGAGTAAGCACAGAAGCTATCGTGGTGCTGGGTACCTGGTTCAGGAAGTTAACATACATTAACAGAATGGCCAGCACATAATAACCAGCTAATAACTGTCAGCTTTATGGTCATTATTCCTACAAGGACATAAAACTTTGATTTGGTGTCTGTGAGAGCTGTGTGCTTGCATCAGAGAACAGAGCAGTCACCAACCCAGACCAAAGGGGGCTTCATTTTGTGTAGCCTCTCAGTGTGCTTTGGTGCATTTAGCAATCCATGAAGAAGCAAACTACAGTTGTCAGGGACAGCGTGTGCTGCGCTGCACAATCTTAGTAGACTGGGAAGCAGACCCCAGTGCTGCCTGCAGCTTGTCTCCCACACCGGAAGGGGAACGGTACCAGCCCCCTTTCTTAACTACTTCCCTGGCGCCATGTAATGATGGAGTACGCCCCACCTTGATAAAAGCTACTCTGAAGGCAACTGCGTTGATTTCACCTCCTGTGCTATTTGTGGGGAAGAGTGAAGAGTAGTTTGTTTTGCCTGGAATGAACTACTTTATGAATTTTAATGGATGATATAATATTAAAAGCTAAGCCAGGATTAAAGGAGATTTTTTTTGTACTAAGCAAAAATAGTACTTAGTAGAGTGAACTATAAAAGATTTTTGTTTCCATTTTTTACCTGGGGAATAATTCCACTTTCATATTTTGAAAAGCTGCCCAAGTCAGTTCCCCTTAAGCAATAGCTTGTGTTAGGGGAAAAAATGTGGTTTTAGAATTCTAATAGCTTATCTGTGATAAGATGCCTATCTGGGCAACTAGATGGGAGGGAGGAACTTGGCTAAATATTTTTTAAATGAGTAATGCCGCCAGATCCTGCCTTTATCTTTTTAAAGTTTTTCCTTCACTTTTTTATGCTTCTCTTTTTGCTACTATGAAATGACGCTTTGCTTGATTTATATGATTTAGGATTCTTGCTTTTTGATTCAAATTGTAATTGCTTTCTAGAAAAATTAAAGAAAATTTTAGAGTCACAGAAAGACAAACTCTCCAATTTAATTTTTACAAAAGAATGAAAAGTGTTGTAAAACCAGAAGAAATCCAAGTTTTCCAAAGCCTGCTCTGCTACCCGTTGCTACGGATTGCTGGGGACTGTTTCTTCCCGCCACTGGACTTCATGCCCCCACTTCCATAACATTCAATTTTCAAAGCGATTGAAATGGCTTTTCTTTTCTCTTTCATTTAAGCAGTGAGAAAAATAGGTATTAGAAAGGACCCCATGGGGTGATCAGATCTATCCCTCTGCCTCAAAGCAAGACCACCCCAGAGCAAAGTTTCAAATCTCACCAAAGGAACTTTGAGGCAGTTTATGGTAATGTGTTAACTCTTCTGGCTCCTAAAGTGGTATTTAGCAGATTATTGCTTCAAAGCCCCCTGTGCGTTCCTAGTGGCCTCCAGCCTTACTGTACACCCGGAGCTGGAAAAGGAGCCCTAAAATCCAGGGAGACTCCTGCCATTCCCTCCCAGACCAGGTGACAGTGCCGTCTGTGTGGCTGTATGCTCCTTCCTCTTCAGGCCTGTGGTGTAGACAGCCACTGCAAAGCCTGCTGGTTCCTTGCCTTGGGGGGTTGGGGGGAATCATGACTTCACGGAGCATCTGCCTGCTTCCTCCGGATAAGCCAGAGGTGAATGACTTTGCTTACAGGCTAGAAGTTAGATGCAGAAGGTACATTTTACAAGGGACTCACGTTATTCTCAAGAATTGAATCCCTTCCTAGGGTAACCTCTGCCCCTCTTTCATACCAAATGTTTTGGGAACTGTGAAATTAACATGGAACACTGCAGTTTGACTAGAAGTTTGCCTCTATCCTGAAATGGGCTTTGTTTTCCTGTTGTTCAAAGTTCATGTGCAAGATGGTAAGTTTCTAGAGAAACCTGAATCTCTATAAAGGATCCTAAAAAAGTGGGCTCCTTATTGCAGTTTTTTTGGAGAAGTGCAGTCTTGTCTCTGTATTCACGTTTGTTACATTTTCATCAGTGTCTTAGAAAAAATTCAGCTATCTAGTTCATAGGTATATTTTTCAAGACTGCCTCATGTAACAGCATGATAAAAGTTAAATTCAGAGTTTAAAAATAACATCAAGGGGCTGGAGAGATGGCTCAGCGGTTAAGAACACTGGCTGTTCTTACAGAAGACCTGGGTTCAAATCCCAGCACCCACATGGCAGCTAACAACTGTCCATAACCCCAGTTCCAGGGGATCCGACAGCCTCTTCTGTCCTCCAAGGGCATTGCACAACATGGGTGCACTTACGTACATGCAGGCAATACACGCATACACATAAAATAAAAATAAGTAAAATGTTTTTTTAAAATATCAAATTTTAAAGTTGAGATATGACTTTCAAACCCCAAAATTTGATGGTGGGGGACATTTTACTAGTGCTTTCTGTTTATCACTATTTTCAAAAGCTTGGTACTAATTTTTCCACTGTGATTATATACTTTGAACGTATTTTTAGAGGCTCTGATTATATATTTTAGGTAACTTATAGTAATGCTCCATTATGGAGGAAACGTTTTCTTCCTGTCTGGTTCCACAAGTCAAAAGGAAGTTTTCCATATAAGAGTGCCAGGAAAAGATGAAATAATTAAGACAGAACAGCTTGGACATCATGTGTAAAATGCAACCAGGCTTTATGATAATTAAGCAAGGCACTCTACCTGTTTCATGGATGATGTAAATACGCAGTTCTGCAAATGGCTTTGTTATGGAAGAGTTTTAAAATGAAACATAAGAGGAAAAGGCATAAAAAAGAATCTCAAATTAAAAAGGCCATCGTATATAATAGCTATTAGTGATGCAACTGTCTATTAGGCACAGGACACCCAGCGAAGACTGTACCAGGCATTATGATTTCGATTGTGAATTTCCTTTGTTAGAACTGGAGTGGGAGGTAATTGGGAGACAATTAGTTTAGGGGTTTCAAGTCTTTGAAGCTGTTCTCTTTTCCAGAAAACTTCCTTTACGGCACATCGTTCGTGGTTGTTGGTGGGCAGTTGCTGTCACATTACAGATGTAAGCATCTGCGACAGTGTTACTACCTTAGCTTAAGCAATCTGAACTTAGGGTAATAACTAATGGTGAATGACTGCGCTGTTGATTACCTTGATCATAAAAGGAGCAACAGTGTCCAGCTTGGATGCTGAGCCTGAGATGCTTCGAAGCCATTTGGCCAGTGAGAAATGACAGCCATGTTCAAAATGTTTTGTAGGTGAAAACAGCCACTATAACCACTGAGAGGAATGGGAAACCGGAGAACAATACCATGAGCATTAATGCCTCCATTTATGATGAGATTCAGCAGGAAATGAAGCGTGCTAAAGTGTCCCAAGCACTGTTTGCAAAGGTGGCAGCGACCAAAAGCCAGGTAAGAGCCTCTCCGCGAGGCGTTGGAGCGTGTGTCTGTGACGCCTGTGGCATTGCCAATAGAAGACGTGTCCGTGTTCTGTGTGAACTGGCATCCCCAAGTGATCCCAACCTCCAGGACTGTGCACAGAGCCCTGCAGAGCGTGTAGAGACCTGGGTTGTACACCTTGGGTCTCCTAGTCCTCCTGCAGCTGCATCTAGACTAATGATTTCTCGGGCAATCCAAGCCAGGTTGCCTTCAGAAGAGGATGGTTTTTCAGGCTGGGGTGTTACAGTAGGACCAGTAACTTACCGTTGTTCCTTTATTTGGATGACCTTCATTTCTAGTCTATTTTTAAAAGGTTAGTTTTTATTTAATGCGTGTGTTTTGCCTGCAGGTGTGTAAGTGCAACCTTGTTGTGCCCAGAGACCAGAGGGAATCAATCCCCTGGGACCATTGTAAGCTACCATGTGGGTGCTGGGGACTGAGTCTGGGCCTTAAAAAAAAATACAACTTCCTGGGCTGGGCATGGTGGCACACACCTTTAGTCCTAGCACTCAGAAGGCAGAGGCAGGCGGATCTCTGTGAGTTCAAGCCCAGCCTGGTCTACATAGTAAGTTCCAGGACAGCTGGGGCTACAGGGAAACCCTGTCTCAAAAAGACAAAAAAAAGAAAAAAAAAATACAACTTCCTTTGCAATTGGGCTCTCTGTAGCTATGAAATGCCAGTATTAAACCACATGCACACTTGTACTTTTGCATATTAGTGTCTTTGATTTTATTTTTTCTATAGATGTACAGAAGACACACAATTGAATTAAAGTCAGAAAACTTGTCCAATTCTGATGACTTACAACTGAATAGACATGAATTAGAAAAGTTACAAATCTCTGCAAAGCAAGATAAAAACAAAGGCCAGATCATGCAGCCTCTCTTCAGAATGAATTGTGTATGGTGATAATTTTTGTTCCCTTTAAGTAGAATTATCTGTTAATACAAACTTACAATTGTCTATCAACTGAGCTATGAATACTTATTTTTTTTCCCCTTGAGACAGGATTTCACTATGTAGTCTTAGCTGACCCAGAACTGGCCTCAAACTCACAGAGATCCGCCTGCCTCTGCCTCCCAAGTACTGGCATTAAAGTTGTGAGGTACCATGCTCACAAATACTTTTTAAAAACGTAGGACATTAAACTTCCTTTCCCTTTTACAAAAGGACCTGGTTATACCGTGAAGGTGGGACTTAGAAGCAAACAAAGGCTCAGGTGAGATTTGAACAACTTGAAATTGTACACAAGTCTGTTTTCATACTCATTAATGGGCTCATAACATTCCGGCTGTTTTCAGTTTGTGATGAAACACACAATCCTTGGAGTGCTAACAGCATCATATATTTATAGCCCAATATCTTCCTGGCTTTTCCTAAAATTTTACTCTGTCCACATTAATAATGGTACTTAATGGGAGTTTTGCTTTAGAAAAATGTTGTTCTTGTTTAAGTTATAGGCCGGATGAAATACTTAAGGGATATCTTGGAAATGTTATATAAAAATGATTAAACTCAAGCTGTGGACTGTAAAAATTATAGCTTTATAGGCCACATGCCTGCCTACCCTTCAATCACTGTCAAAGTGATAATTTCTACAATAATATGTTTCTTTTATTGTGAGATTCTAAACATCAAGTGCTGTTTAAACATTAAACTGAATTGTTTATGTTAGCACAGTACTCAGCGTGTCATACACCAGGCCACCGTAATCTCTCATGGAATGTAAAATTCTGTCATGAATCATGGCTTGTATATCGGAAATTACTGTAATTTTGATTGGAAATTACAGGGCTCTTGAAATGTTTCTAATTATGATAGAATGTTAGAGCCGCTTCAAACCTGTGTGTTTCTTCTGATGTCTTCATTTACATGCCAAGACTGCGCATTAAGGAGAAACGTCCTGTCCCTGCTTCTCCGCCCGCCCCGCACACTCCTGTTTTGACTACTTAGTCTAATTACGATGAGGATCTCTTTATTTAAATATATATTATCTCGCCTTCTTTCTGATCCTACATCTTTTTTTCCCTCTCCTGGCCTGTCCAATTGCATAACAGACTGCATTTCTACAAGGGCCAGGCACTTTCTCCACATCTCCAAAATGGAGACCCTGGATACATATTATTATTATTATCAGGTCAGCCATGAAACAAAACAAAAATTAATATAGAAGCTTTTCAGTAAATACCATTTAGTTGCCTGGCACCTGTCTGTAACTCACTGTCCCCTTCCCATTTCCTTTCTGGTAAGTGCCTAGTAGGCCTTTGGCTACCTGTGGCTTGATTCTTTCTGGTTAAGTGATACCATAGATTCTCTACCCTCAGGCTAAGTTTGAAATTCTTCAGGAAGCAGCAGCAATTGGTAGATTGTCCTGTGTTTGAGGCTGTACTGAGTGTTTAAAATATCTTTGTTTTTTCTGTACCCCTTCCCTTGCTGAGTAGTATTGATGGGCAGCTTCTGAGCACCTCCTGTGATGCTCTGTCTCCCAAGAATACCCCAGACTTCTAATCGCCTTTCTGGCAGAGGAAGCTCCAAGGAGCCAGTTGTAGGCTGTGGGCCAAGCCAGCCTCAAACGCCCACCCCCTTGAGTAGTTATCCCCAATCTCTGACATATTCCTGCTTCCTGGCAGGGCATTTCTGTAGTTCTCTCTTAGTTGTTTAATTTAGGTGTTACACTACCCTCTTTATGAACATATGTGCAAAGATCAAGGATTATTTAAAAGTAAGAGAATCAATCTGGTTGTATCATTGACAGAGGAAATCTGATTAGGAAGGAAATATGGCCGCTGAATTTGGGTTCTCTTCTTCTGTCCCAGTGTCTTGTAAAGGAAACAGAAAAAGTAGCAAACAGAAGTCTTCAAACTGACCTTTTTATGGTAAAAATGTGCGACCTCTGAGATAGTTGTTTACACCTCAGGTAATGTAAGCCTGTGCTTATCAGAACAGTGTGTAGGTAAGAGAGAGGGAGGGCGTCCCTTCCCCCCGCCCAGCCCGCCTTGCTCTACCAGCTCCTACCTTCACCCCGGTTATGTGGGTCTGCTTACTGGTCACCCTCTCTTCTCTGCACAGCCCTACCATGTATTAGCCTTGATCTGTAGTTCACTTAAGCTGGCGTTGATTTCACTTTAGACATGATACACTTGGATAGTAGAGGGTCAGTTCCAAATTTTAGTGTCTTCCTGGGATTCAACGCAGCACTTGTATTGACGTTAAGTCCTGTTCCATGAAAGCACAGTTAGGGATATTGGATTTCCTCTCTTCGTTCACACACTCGTAGAACACTGATTCACCTCAACCCTTGGAGCTTAGACTGTGCCTGCCTGGTGGAGGTGGTTTTATATGGTGGAAGAGCCAAAACAGGTTAGCTGTGGTCAAGGTTGTATCCCTGGCACCATGATGGCGTGGGGAAATTAGCTACCGTACTGAGCCCAGGATTCTTTGAGCATGAGAGGAAGGCACCCATGCCATAATGTATGCAGATGAGGCTTGAGGTATACAACACTGTATACAAACGGACAGTATTTATACTGTGCTCAGTAAGAGGCTCAGTCCCCTCCATGGAGAAAAGTGATTTATTTATCATGTATTTACGTCTTTGGAATAGCTTCCGTTTTAAAAGGTAAAGCATGCTCTGCAGGGACTAACTCACAAAGTCTGTTCAGTACAGGGAGCCCACCCGAGTGGATTCCGCCAGCTCACCTGTACTCTCTCATCTCTTCTCTTCGATGAATAATAGAAATAGGATTATTTTTAACTGTAATAATAGAAATGTCTGGATACAGTATGCAAAGTGAAAGCCGAAGGTGGGCTGTTTGCTGTGCTTGGTTAGGAAAGCAAGCTAACGCGAACTTGAAAAGATGATGTGGTTTAAACATAATGCGAATAGCTACAAATGAATACACTTTATATTTAGGGTATTCAAATAAGCAGCAGTTCTTCCAAGTGAATCATATTGGATTTTTTCAAACATTTAGTGTGATAACATTTAAATTATTGTGGAAGCAGGATTTGCTAATTTCACTGTTTTAAAAAAAATAGTTGATTTGGGTAATAACCATTACAGTATCAAGGTTCAGTTACTGTTCATTGGCTATAGTGTTTTCATATGGGAGAAAGAAGTCGAATTTTTTCCTTAATAGTGGCAGATGTTGGAATCTAATTTTATTCCATGCAAACCCCTTGAGAGCCCTGAGACTTCAGGTGTGTGTCCGGCAAGGGGACATTAACGGCGCTGTAGGCCTTGCCACATACATGGAATTCTTACACTGATTTTCATGTTTGCAGAGTGGAGGCAGCACATGCAGCCGTGCAGGCGGAGAGGGCTTTACTGCATCTCCATTTGTGTTTAGGAAATGATTCTTCTTGCTTGCTTCACAGATCAGAATGTTTCTTCGGGGTGCAGCAGCTGGGTGGTGAGATCTTTTTGACTGGACAGACTTTCCATATAATCTTTTGCAGTCTCTGCAAGTTAGAGGACTTTGGCCACCCCAGTTGGGGCTGTCTTTATAGGTAGGGTTTTTAACACTTTTCAAAAAAAGAAAAAAGATGGTTTCTCACTTTAAGATAATGTGATTGATAGAAGAGACCAGTTGCCTTTAAAGTCTTTCCTCTGTCAATTTTCAGACGCTTTTGTCTGAGATACAGAACCTCTAAGGTGGTAAGGTGAGTGAGAGGGCGTCAGCAAAAGACAGACACTCCAGTGCTCCTTGGAGTGTAGATTTGAAAATACAAGCATCCTTCTGACCTTTAGGTTTGGTGACTGGAATGTCTTAAATACAAGTAAAACTGTCTCAAGCCAGTGGACTAGAAGTTGGGCTAAAAGTGTAGTTTTCCTTGCAGGGAATTAGAATTTATAATGACAAAAGTATAGAATCAAATCAGGGACCCAGTGACGCTGTATTTCTAGCACTTTGGGGAAGGCACCTTTCGTTTGCTTCAAGCGAAGTTGCATCCACGGTTCCAAGCTGGGTGTT